AACATTTTTTTAGGTGGGGCTCCTAGTTCTGGTCAGCGCATTAAAGTGATAATAAATCAAATCTAGTCTCGACATTGCTTACAACAGATAACCGGCCATTGCTCATTGTTAATTTATTGTTAAAATACGTATGGAATGAAGCGGTAATTGCACCATTTGATCTTTTTTCTTTGCGGTTTAATTTGAAGATGATAGCTAATGAGATTCACCAAACTTTGTGGGAGCTTATGGTGATCAGGCTATGTCTTATCCTATCAAGATACTACTTCCAACAGTTCAACAGGTGATTCTAATGTCTTGGCAAAAAACATCCCGGCCAGCCGCAAAATTCGATGCTAGTGATTTTTTTCAAGCATTGCGAGCCAAATTTCGAAAAACCCTCGACGAAACTCTCGTGCAATCGAGGACATACGGTTTTGTAATTACCATTCATCAGGTTGGCAAAGCACAACTTAGCTGACAGGAGATTTTGTATTGTTCAATATGTGCAACAGCGAGCCTGTAAATTGACATTCGAAATTAAAATCGTACCCTCGGTCAGAATCACCAATTGGTTAAAAATAGGAGAGGTGCTGAAATAATAGTGGGAATTTTCTTTGGTATTAACCTGTATCACTTCTCTACAATAAACATTCTTACTAAGGTTTCTTAACTTAGCATGTCTGTACGAGGTCAGCAGACAGCACAGCCAATCAAGTGAGGTCACTCCGCAGGCGATTGCTAGGAGGCATAAGGTGGCAGGTGCGAGGTAGTGATTAAGAGGTCATTTTTGACTAAAGTCCCTCTCCCTCATCCGAGTCATTCCTATGATTAGTAATTTTGATTGACCTTGAAAAAAAACGACTCTTGTTTGAAGCGTACATTTCATTTTCGATTTTCCCCTCCTCTGCTTATTCGATGATTATTACTTTTCATAGACGTTTATGTCATCCAGCACAAGAACACATACATTATACAAAACGCCTGATAATGTGGGAATGAGGCTGATATAAGCTCGAAACATTAAAGGGCTCCTGGAGCCAATTTGGTTTAACACGTTGACGACAACGCGCGTTTTGGGTTTTTGCGCCGCGTGGGACCACGGCGATTTTGCAGGCGCCGCCGCCTCACATCAAATCCGTGAATTTTGAGCTTTAAATACGCAAAACTCGGATGCAACAAAATGTTTAGAATGATATTCGATGTGTCAAACTTATCAGAAGGGCTGTAAAAATCGATCGAATTGACGTTTTCTGGCGATGAAAGGCAAGTTTCAGTTGCTTTTGCTGCAGTGAACCTCAAAATTATTTTTGACGCGGTTGCTCCACTAAAAACATATGTCTTGCTATATGTGTGGGTCTGTACTTACTTCTACTGCTCTTTTTTATGACCAAGATTATCAGAATATAAAGGAAACTAGGAATGAACACAATTGGGAAATTCGTAGGGCTTAGAAAACCTTCGCTAAAAAGGAGCATATTCAACCATTCAATGAAACCTCGCCGTGTCTAGTCATATTATGGTGTAGTCTATGGAATAGATGCAAAAAATTAGAAAAGAAGTAGCGCATGCGCGAAAAAATAAATATTTTGTGTGTGCAGCGCATGCGCTGCACACGGTCCCACACGGTGCTCAAGGTGTGATGCGCATGCGCTGCACAATGTCGTCAACGTGTTAAAAGCTGTACTCCGCAATGCCCCCTTTTACCGAATAAGACCCGGTTCCGGTTTGGTATTACAAGAAAATGAATTCCCAGCCAGGGCGAATGCATAGTTGGTCGTTCGATCGTGACAATCGCACAGTACTGGGTGCGCATCGATCGCCGAACGTATCCGAGGACTGGACGATCGCTAGTAGCTAATGCTGTGTGAGTTACGAACGATCGACTTTGTATGCGACCCCAGCATCTAGAGGTTACCTTGTCCGTGGGGTATTGTGAGCCCGGCGCTGTAGAAGTTGGGCAGTCAGTGAATAAAAACAGATTACTGTAAGGCCGTGGTCATAGTTTTGCGACTGCATCGCGATGATAGGATCCAAGCGTATTGGTTCACTCTCGAAGTGCATGGCAGTTGCAAAACTATGATCGCGGCCCAAACAATGCCAAGGTTTCGTTCATGAGTCGGTCTCTGGCTAGTTCTATAAAAAGTCGTGAAATAAAACCGAAACAAAAACAACATACGCATGAACACAAAAGCAATTCAAACACAACAACAAAAATCAAGGCAGACGGGGAACATGTAGAAGGAGATGATGCTTCACTTTTCACGACTGAAAGCTAGATAGTAGGCATCCGTGAACATTTCCTAGCCTGAAAAAGGTTTAAGGAGATTCGTGGAATCAGCTTCATCACAGTGTTCAGGAATGACACTTGATCCGTTTCGTGCGCATTTAATTGAACTAATTGGACAAGAAGAAAGTATTTGGAATATTCAAGCGAATGAATACCGATCGCATGAGATAAGAAGAGCCGCATGGGAGCGTGTGCAAAAGGGGATGGAAAGGCATGGCCACGAATTCGATGGTGAATTCCATTTTAATATGTGAATGCGGATGGGTATGAGCATCGTTCTTAGTGCCGTTTGAAATTTCAGTGGCGTATTTAAAAAATGTATGGAGGAACATCAAAGATGTTCGGAGAAGAAGAAAATCAATGACTGCTGGCTCTGGCGCCGAAAAGAAGAAAGATTGTGCATTGTTGGACTGCTTAAATTTTCTTGATGAATCAGAATATCATTGGTAAGCTCCTCCTTAGCCCCTCTGAAGCTACATGTATAGCTTGCATTTGCAGCGGATCCGTGTCCAACTTGACTGCCGGAGATTTTGCAAACCACCCCTCACCTATGTCGTTACATGAGGACGCTGAAGTAGAAGCACCTCCTTCTACATCTTATGCTTCTAAATCACATGTGAACCAACGAAAAACACAAGGGTACGATAAAGAAAGGGAAGCCGAAAACAGAGGTGGGTTAATTACAAAGTTTACATTTACTGATATTGAATACCTTCCTTTGCAGTGCTCCTAGATATCATAAAAAACGCTACTGACAAAACTACCATGGCAGCGGAGCAAGCTTTGATGGCCGAAAGTGCCGACGACGTGTTTTCTGCTTTTGGTATGAATACTTTCCTTCACTGAATAACTACTCGAGAAAATTTATTTTTAGGCCTCTTTGTTGCAAGGTATTTGCGCGGGATCGACAAAAGTCTGGCTTTCTGTAAAGTACATCTTCTATGCAATGTGTTGTTGACTGCCGCCAGGGTAACAATCTACACAGAAAACGGGAATCAATTCACCCTAACCGTGGAGTCGGAAGAAGATAATTTGGTTGAAGATATTGACCTGCAAGGTTAGTTTGAAGTAGTTTTTGGTGTATATGTGAAACTTCCAGTTAGGTATTGCATTAGCTTATGCTGCTGAAATGGCTAGTCAAAAAAGTGTGTAGATTCTCCTCAAACCTATTGCGCAGATTTGGTATTTGTCGACCTATTGCGCAGATTTGGTATTCGTTGATCCTATTATTAGTGGGAAGTTTTTGAGTTTACAGAGTAGCATAATTTTCGAATCAATCAGAAGTAAGCTGTGCAAAACTTTTTGGAGCTCTCATTAGGTATGGCCAAATTTGAGTACGCCGCGCCATCGGAAAAGTGTAGCGTTGGCGCGAGGGGCCGCGCGCGACGACTCCACTTTCGGACGATTCTGTTGACCGTCCCTGGTAGGAGTGAGACAGACCAAAATTTTTTGAAACTCCTATGGGGATTGTGGAGGGCCCTGTTCACGAATATGAGATCCATTTTTAGCCTGGCGCCAGATGGCGCCACGACTGATTCTCACAAATTCGCTGTAAACTTCTGTATAGGGGTTATTTGGGCCCTGGTTATGACATTCGTTTCTCGTTGGCGCTATTTGACGCCTGTTTCCTGCTCGTCTGCGCCCTCTCACTAGTCGGATCACAATCAGATTAGTGGAGGGCTCCAGAATAAGTAAGCCACCCCTGTTTGCAACCATGGAGGTACAATGGAGCTAAAGTGAAATCTACTGTCTCCAAATAAAACTCTGCTTGAGACTACAGTAGCACCGCGCGGTACGCAGTTACACAGCTTCCTACGGATTTATACGTAATATTCACTAACTCGCATTCATTGTTGGCGAAGCCGACACTTCGTCTCGCATAGTATTGTGTTAAGCGTTCTCTTGCCGTGAATGCCACATCTGCTCTCTCCCCTATGTCGGCAAGAGGTACCAACTCTCGGACTGGAGCTGGGTATCTCTGGGCTCTTTTACACGTTCTCCCTTTCAGCTGTCAAGCTGTGGAGCACCTGAAACATTCAATGAATGAGTTTATGTATTGTTGTTGAAGCTGGTGGTTCTTACCAGCAAAGAAGTCACGACCTTCCTCGTGTTTCGTGGAGTCATCTCTATTTCATTCTGCAACATGGCGAAACGTCGGCATAATATGCCGAACGTTTGCTCGACCACACTTCGAGCTCTGAAAGACGTTTGGCTGACTAATTTAGTGGAAAGAAGTCGACACTCACCCGCTGTGCTTCCGATTGAACATCCTTTTAGCCGGTGTGTTTGCAGCATCTCGTAAATAAGGCTTAATATAACGGTAGCTCTGCGCGAAACCGCAGTCCACCAGTATATGATACTGGACCGCGCCTACAGTTCCCAACGGTCTTGTGGGCGGAAAAAGGTGGTCGTTGTTCTCGAAAAGGACCTAAATCGAAGCAGCTACTACTGAATATTAGTCTTAAATTCTCGACCTACCTTTAGTCTGGAGTTCCTAAAAACTCCAGCGTCCCCCACGTGACCAGCTGCTCCCAAATCAAATGTGAGGATACGGTGGTCGCAATCTACCAATGCTAATAGTATGATGGAGTGAAACCTTTTATAGTTGTAGTACTCGGAGCCGGAATGAGCAGGTCTCTGCAATAGGTATTTTTATCAGTTCCCCCAGTTATCTGATCGAAGCTGTGCTCTTCATTCCTACCCGAACTCTTATGTGTTTACCATCCATAAACCCCACGGCACGAGGATAGTCGTGCCTTTGCTGTGTCTGCCTGGCCACCTCTTCTAGCTGGTCCCGAGTGATCCTTGGGAATGCTTCTTCAAACAAGTTTAGAACCCATCATAGTATTATTATGCTTACAAGTGTACAAATTTCTGAGCGGATTATTCCTCACTTTCATTTATTGCCTTCGCCACCTGGTAGACAATTTGCCTTACTGTCGACGCACCACACTGTACTTCCTCCGCTAAAGAACTGAAAGGGTATCCGTGTCCGACATACCTAAACTGTAAATATTGAGTTATTGAATTACATTTAGTGATAATCGTTTTTCCAATGGAAGCTTTTTTCTCTACAAACTCATGTTCTACGTGAAGGCATACATAATTTAAAACTCATTGATTTGCTCCACGGCGCGGTTTGATACTTTACTATACTTGCCATAACTATGTTTGAGGCTTGCGAAAGTAGTTCTAACCGTATCAATTGTGATTCGCTGTTAGAAATTACCAGAATATACGGCATAAAGTCACGCTTTGTCAGTATCTTCTCAATTTTATACCTAAACTCCCCGTGCTGCTTGGAACAAATAATGAACACACATCTCTTTAAAATCACCACAGATGTGCGCCAGGGATGCACCCTGTCCCCATTTTCATTCAGTATATGCCTGGACTTGATCACGCGAAAGGACGATGGGACGAAAGGAAACAGGAATAAGTGGTTCAACGAGGAATTTATCACAGACTTATGGTAGGTTTTGCGGAGGACATTGCGCTTTTTGCGCAAGAAGAAGGTAAACCTAAAGAAGTGACTACGAACCTTAATTGTAAAGCAACAATGATTGCCTTGGCATGCGCGAGATACAGTTATTCCAATCCATTGTGATTCCCGCCGTGTTGCACGCAGGCGAAACATGGAAAATCACTGCTAGCCTCTTCAGGATAATACATGCCTTTCCATCAAGCCTTTTAAAAAATCGTAAAAATAGGGCCATATCACTGATCATGGATTCCTGTGTGGTGTGAACAGCGTCCACGTGATTGTAGCACGGCGCAGACCCCGACTAGATGAACAGATTTTACGAATGCCACAACATCGCATTCCACTATCGAGGGCTTTTCCGAAACGGTTTCTCACACGTTGTAGCAACTTATGCGTAGACTACAGAACCAAAGGCTCCATTCCGCTAAACGGCTCCGTGAAGGCCAAAAAGTGGTGAGGAAATGGTCCAAGGATCAATTCCCCTTGACCAAAATTTTGCATTTAACTTAGAGCATCCAATTTTTTTCCAGATAACACCAGCGGAAAGAAGTAGCTATCACCTTTTTTTATCAGGACCGCCAGTAATAATTAAACTCAGATTATAACTGGAATCTGAAAAAGTGTAAAGTGAAAAAAAAGTGTAACTCCAGATGTGTGCCGAAGTGGCGTAAATTGGAGCAGTGGCAAAAGCAAGCTAGTGATAGAAAACAGCACTCGCATGAGTTGAGATCGACGGACTGCTTCTCCTCTAAGATATGGTATATTGTGTCTTTGGCTCTTGCACCGGTAGGGCCGGATGCGTGACTATTCAATCGTGGCAGTGGCTAGGTCGCCGCGCCAGCCGCCGCAGCCCGCGATGACGCGGCGAATTCGCAAAGAACTCAGCATCCAAACATTGGGGAATGTAAGATTAGATGAAGTTTTCAGTCATAAAACATGGAATAGGAATCACCTAACCCCTTGAAATGCAGTTTCTTCGCCCCTTGCTATTATTACAAACTTATCCTATAATGCTTATGTCAGCGCCTTCCTCACCGTCCCTCTGTGTCTTGGAACGTGATGTTCTTTCTGGTTGAACCAGATTATCACTCCCTGATAGAAATTCAGGCAGCTGATTAATAAAGAAGTCGAATTAAATTCAAAAGGACAACCTTTACATGGTACAACCTTTGCACTGTGAGGCTTAAATCATTGCGGAGATCTTAGATGACGCTTGCTGGCTTACTGATGTCTAGCACTCTGATCTTATCAGTCACCTAGCCAACTTATGGACATGGATGGTTAAGACAAGGTCCACACAGAAATCGCCGCACCAACTGCCGCGCGCATCCCATAGACGGAGGATTCAATGGTAGCAGCGAGGTGGTGGGAGATGTTCTCTCCGGGAGCGACCTTTGGATCGCGTGAATCGCCAGGGTTTTCTGCTTGATTTGCGAGCTGCCCTCGTCTTCAAGTCCTCACTGGCGTGCATGCTGACCTGTTGCCCGAGATGATCTTCTTTTTCGAAGTTAGGTCAGATTCTTGACGTTCGTCAAATCTTGCCTATAGGAATAAATCGTCGTGCTGGTCACGAATATGGCGTTCCTTTTTGGCGTCGGCGCCGTTTGACGCTGAAGCGACTCTGCGCTGGCAATCGAAAACGAACTTCCTCTCCGCTCAGGGAACCTCTTTTCTTTTCCAACACTACCCCAGGCAGCACAAGTCCGAAACTTCACCCATAGCTGTAAAAACCGCCCATTCATAACAAAATTTTCGACCATTATTTGGCCATCGGGGGGCTGTTTAGGAAAATGAAACATGGTTGCGATCTATCCATGGATCCCTACAATATGCAAAAAACCGTTTCGAAAGAATGCGGCTTGCCCTGGGAGATATCTTCTAAGGTTCATGTATTGAGCTTCTCTAGAAGCCAAGAGAACGGGAGCTGTCCCAAAATCACATGGAGACGAACTATTCGATAATGACCTAAAGACCATGGATGTTTCTAGGGACGAAGGGTGAAATACTTGCGCAAAATCGTCAGAGTGGAATAGAATTTGTGCCCAATGTCAGGCGGGAGGAATTAAATCTAAGTAAGTACATATTGCTTCTCTCATCCGACAAGGTGTCGCAATGTTTATTTGATCACTCAGTGGTTGTCAACCTCTCTGTTGCACACAGGGTATACGTGAGTCGTGGTTCTGTAACAATAATACGCACATTTATTGCATTAATTCATTATATCCAATTAGTCGAACACTGCTACAGCTTCTTGTATAAGACGTCGTTCGGAGTGCTGCAGATGTGGCTATTCTTATCTAACTGAATCACAACACGACCCACGAACATCTAACATCCAAACAGGGCTTCCGCCACAATTTCG